AGCACTTTTAAATTTACCCGCCTCTTGCCACGTATCTATTTTTTATAGGTTTCCCTATTTCATCGTCAGCAGCAACGTCACATCACCCCATTTCTTGATCCTGCCCCTTTCCTTTACCATATATAAGTATTTGTTTGAAATTCAATAAACGAGACTTGATCGAACTTTCGACTTGTCTCCATTCTTCGCGTCTCTTGTCCCCTCCATTTCCAGCCCCTCCTCCAGGTCCTAGGTTGACTGTCCCGCGGGACGGGACAGTGGTGGATGATGTTGATTGTTTTTCTAATGTTGAACCATCCCTGCAGACCTGATATGAACTCCACTTGGTCTTGATGAATGATTTTCTCGATATGTTGTCTGAGTCTATTGGCTAGGATTTTGTTGAAGATTTTTGCATCCGTATTCATGAGGGATATTGGTCTGTAGTTTTCCTTTTTCATGATGTCTTTGCCTGATTTTGATATCAAGGTTATGCTTGCTTCAAAAAATGAGTTAGGGAGGATTCCTTCCTTTTCTGTGTTTTGGGATAGTTTGAGCGGGATTGGTGTCAGTTCTTCCCTGAACGTTTGGTAGAATTCTCCAGTGAAACCATCTGGACCAGGGCTTTTTGTTGGTAACTTTTATGACTTGTTCAATTTCTTCTTTTGTCCAACTTTTCCTCCTCAGTCTGTTAATTTAGGTGAGTACTGTATTTCTAGACATCTGTCCATTTCTCCCAGATTTTCACATTTGTTGGAGGGCAGTTCTTCACAGTATCCAGATACTACCCTTTTTATTTCAGTTGGTTCTGTTGTGATGTCACCCATTTAGTTTCTTATGTGTAACACGTATTATGTTTTGCTTTTCTTGTTGATTCCAGCCACGCTTTGTGGGGTGGGAGTGGACTGATGCCTTCTTGTAGTTTTGATTTGCATCCCCCTCATGGCCAGTGGTCTTGAGTATCTTTTTATGTGGGTATTGGCCGTTTGTCTGTCTTCTTTGGGGAAATGTCTATTCAGCTCCCTCGACCATTTTTATTGGGTTATTCTCGTATTATACATCTGGGGTGCAGCTGTGGGCTGCACTCCTGACCTGGGCCTTGGCCTTTCATTCTGGTTAAGGGGTGCCTGCCCTCTGCTTGGGCCTGGCCCCTTGGAGCAGGCCTACCCTGTGGCTTTGGCCCTGCCCTCCTGGCATGCGCCTTGCCTGGGGAAGAATGGGGAAGGATGGATTCGGTAGCTGAGGAGTCCCACCAGGACCGGTCTGGTCTCAGGTATTTAAGGAAACTGCAGCCTAGGGAACTCAAACAGGGAACTCCCTGCTGAAGGAAGCTGGCCGCTCCTCACCCCGCAGAGCCTGTGGGCTGCTACAGCAGGTGTGGCTGGCACAGCAGACAGAGCCTGCCCCCCTGTGAAGACCCCAAAGGAGGAAACTGGCCTTTAGTCCATGTTTCACCCAAATGCACTTAACTACCCTGAGAGGTGGCCTCATTGTCTCTGAGCCGGCGGTCCCTGGGATGTCAGTAGGTCTTGGGGCACATGTTGAGTTCATCATGTGCAGGGCCCCTGCCTCAGTGGAAACCCAGGACCTCGAAGGTGTGAGTGGGACAAGTGGTCCCAGTTCTGGGTAGAGGCAGGGACCAACTGATCTAGCAGCCAGTGATTCCCCATCTCTGGGAATTGAAACAGCTTTTCCATGGTGAATTGACCCAGTGGCAATGGGTTTTGTTTTGTTTTTTGGTTTACCTGGTGAGGACTGCAACCTACCTTCACAGCAGCACCCCGCCTCCATCAATGTGCCAGGCTTGTGGGGTGGAGGGTGGAGGGGCCAGTGTCCCAGGGCACAGTGACATGCCACCTGAAGGACTCAGAGAAGGTACAGGGGTTCTGCTGTGGCTGATGAATTAATTAACCCCAAGAGGCTCAGCTCCGAGCCCAGCACTGAGGTTACTATCAACAGAGAGCACGGCGCCCAGGTCCAGGCGACCGAACCCCTAGAACCTGCCCTCCCCACCACAGTGAAGTTACTATCATCACAGAGCACATGCACCCCACAGTACCCAGGTACAGGTGACTGAACCCCTAGAGCCTGCCCCCCCCACCACCACAATGAAGCTCAAAGTCTCGCAGGCCTGCTAGGTTCCCAGAGTCAACGGTCCTCCTCTGGGAACCCTCTCGAAGGTCACTGGAAAGGCAAAACCAGGGGCTGGGGGACTGGATTCAGGCCCCAGGAAGCACTAGACAAGAGGGCCCCCAGGCTCCGGGGCCCTGAGACATCCTGGTCAGGATGAGGTCTCGGCCCCGTCCCCAGGGTGCAGGGGTTGGCTCTCGGGGTCACCCGTGTTCTGAGGCCTCCCGTGTGCGGGTCTTGCAGCGTCAGGGCCAAGCCCCGCCCACATGGCGGCAGGGAGGCTCATGTGGAAAGAGATTGAGTTTGTTGGAGGTTGGACTTGGCTGCCCCTTATCACTGAGGGCTCGCTGTTGTCACTGTGATGGGTGGGTGAGTGCCATGGAGCCAGTACTGTAGGCCCAGGAAATGCTCACGTGGGGCAGGAGGACTGGGGAGGAGCCTGGCGGAGCCTCTGCGTGCCCCGGTGGAGCCCCCCACCACTCCCGCAGGGGTAGGACTGTGTAGAAGCCTGGCTGCTTCTCTGGGAGTACAGGGAGCCTTCCAGCTCCCGGGCGGGGCCAGGCAAAGCGTACACACATTCCCGGAGACAGGCTGGCTCCATAACCAGCCTGCGTGGTCAGGGGCCTGGCCACTCTGGGTGCCGTGGGGTGGCTGTCAGCTTGTCCCAACCACCTAGCCTCATGGTTTGCCCCTGCGATGGGTTTCTCTCCTGGGAGGCTGGGATTCCCCTGGCAGGGAGCTTGGGCATGAAAACCCCCTGAGGGCCTCCCCGTGACCACCTCCCTTCAGTTGGTCCCGGCCTTTCCTCCCTCATTATCCCAGAGGCTTTCCCTGGGGAAGTTCTCATATACAAGTATTTAGTGCTGTTTTGGAGACGGGTCCAGAGATCTGAACAAACACACTGAACCTGGCTCTTGCCTCCACATGCCCTCGACTTAACCCTTAACCTGCCCTGGGAAAGGCTGGTCAACAGCTGGACCCGGAGCCCTGGCTCAGACCGTCAGCTCAGCGTGTGGCCATACTGCAGCAGCTCTGCAGTTCTCAGAACCCCGTCTTCCACCACCAGGCTGACTCTTACGCTGCTGTGACACATGCTGCCCTGCTGTGACCCTAGCCTGACCCTCATCTTAGCCGCTGGCCCTAGCTTATGGCATGCACATTGCAGCCCTGGCATGGCCCCAGGCAGACTCCCAGCCCTTTTCATCCACAGGTGTTTACTTTAAACACTTTCCATGTAGGAGCTGGGGCAACAGAAATGCCCGCCAGCCCTCTAAGGGGCAGTACAGGTTGAGAACGGAGTCCCTGGTGGCCTCTGGGGCCAGGGAGGCCCAGCAGGCTCAGAGGCCTTTTCAGGGCGGAAGTTGCAGGCAGTGGATACAGCGGGGAAACGCCAGGCTGCAGGGCCTCAGCTTTGAGGCTCCAGGATTGGAGGGTCCCTCGTTCACTTAACGTCCTCTGGGTATTGGGCTCGGTGGAGGGCACTGGGGTGCTGGGGCTAGGTGCTCAGTCTGGTGGTGGGGATGTCAGTCCTCCCACCTGAACCCACAGGTACAACCCAAGCGGCTGTGTCCAGCAGAGAGGTCAGGGATGCTTCTGGAAACGGCTACAGTCAGGACAAATAGGAGCGGGGCAGAGGAACAATGGTTGGAGTGAGGTGTCGGCCGGGCCAGGCCTCTTGAACCTCTGGGAGTGCCCAATGGGTGGTGGGTCTGCGGTTGAGCCTGGGCCCAGCCCAGGTGGGGGCTCAGGAAGAGGACAGGGGTACCAGCCCATGGGATTGTGCGGCATCACTGTGTCCCTCACTACACCCCCAGCTCTGGGAGGCCGAGTGTTGTCTGGGCAGGTGTCTGCCCTCACGCTAGAGGCACAGGGCACACTCAGGGCTGAGGAGTGTGAGTGGGCAGGTGAGGCGGGCCGAGGAGGCACAAGCACCCACGGGTGCAAGAGGTGAGGGGCTACAGGCTGAAGCGGTGTTGGGTACAGTTCCAGGTTCCTGGCTACTGGCCACGGCTGTGTGCACCAGGCCCGAGGGCCGCTCCGGGGCCTCCTCTGCAGATCACCTGGGGTGGGGACTGGCCACAGGGCAGATGGGTTGCCCCGTGCCAGCCCCACCTGAGGTCCAAGGACCCAACTCGGATCCTGCACCCTACAGGGCTGGGCCCAGCAGGACTGCGGGATCTCGGGCAGGCTCATCCGGGGCCAGAGCAGGCCCAGCGGTCCACGCAGCTCCGGCGCTGAAAGGGGCTGTCTGCGTAGACCGGCGGGGCCCGAGCTGGACGGGAGCGGCGCCGGGCCAGGCGGGGGAGGCGGGCGAGGTGCGCGAGCCGCGGGCCGCGGGTTCGGCTCTGCGCCCGGGCCAGCAGAGCCACCTGCTGCGCAGACACGTTTGCCGCCGAGCTCACCGCCGGCTCCGGGTCGCTCCGCAGCTGCCCCAGGTCTGCCGGGAAAAGGGCGGGCGAGGGCGGGTCAGGGGGGCGTGGCTGTCCGCCCCTCGCTCTCCAGCCCTCCGTCCCGCCCCTAACCCTAACCCCGCCCCCAGGAGCCGCTGGCGAATCCTCACCCTGGAACAGGGAGTCCAGGAGGTCCTGGCTGACTCGTCTGGGGCTGGCGTGATGGGCTAGGAAGCCTGGACCAAAGCAAACCCGTGAGCGCGGCCCCACGTGGCCAGCAGGGAGAGCCGGCCAGGGCCCTGGGTGCAGGGGCGGTGTGGACCCCAGCCCTGGCCTCACCTATAAGTACAGTGGCTGCCAGGCGCAGGGGGCCCTGTGGGCTCCGGAGGTAGCCCTGGGTCTGGCTCAGGAAGCTGGACACGTGGCTTGGGTACCGCTCAACCTGAGGGCAGGAAGGGTCATGGCAGGACAGGAGGGCTGCCGCGGGGGCAGAAGAAGCCCTAAGGTGAGCCCCAGTCTAGGCCGTCTTGGAGGCTCAGACCTGCCCCACCAGAGCCTGATGGTCAGGCTGGGCTTGGAGGTGGGGGTGGACTCGGGTTGGAGGGCAGTGCACTCAGGGCACAGGGCAATACTGGCCCAGGGGGGCAGCTGGCCTCGGACCTTGTCCTCATCACTGTCCCCCCCCACACACACACTGACCAGGCGGTGGCAGACGCGGCTTAGGGCCTCAGGACTGTCGTAGTGGGCCACAGTCACCACCTCCTCCAACAGGCCCCAGCGAAGGGCCTGGTCACAGCGGGCCAGGGTCCACTCTGAGCTCTGGGAGGGAAGGGAGCAGGAAGTGGCTGGGGTGGCCCCGCCCAGCCAGGATGAGAGGTGGGGGACTCAGGGTTGGTGCTGAAGTATGGGGGCCCAGGGAGGACTAGGATGTGAAAAAGCACACTGAACCTGGCTCTTGTCTCCACAGGCCCCCGACCTAACCCTCAACCTGCCCTGGGAAAGGCTGGTAAACAGCTGGACCCCAACCCTGGCTCGGAGGTCGGCTCAGCGCAGCAACTCTCAGTTGCAGGCCTGCAGCTGAGGCCCTGGGGCGGGGCCTGACCTGCACTCTGAGGGGAGGCGGCCCGGTGGGGGCGGGGTGACGGTGGAGGTGGGTGGGAGCACAAGGGTGCACCGACCTCGGCCGCGTCCTGGCTGGGGTCGTGCAGGCGAAGCAGCAGTGGCACCAGGCTCTGCAGTACGAGCTTCCGCAAGCAGCCGCGGAGCCCCACGCGGAGCCCGCCCCGGCCGCGCCGCACCAGCGTCCCGAGGAGCCCCACCGCCGAGGCGCGGACCGAGTCCCGGGCCTGCGGGGCAGGGCGCAGTCAGAGCTGGCTCCCCGCTCGCGAGAAGGAAGACCCGGCCACCGGCGGGAGGGGCGGCCAGGGCGGGGCAAGGACACAGAGGGCGAGGGAGGACCTGGGTCTGTGGGGGCGGCCAGCGCTCGGCCGACCGCGCAAGGGCGGAGGGGCGTCAGGAGGGCTTCGCTGGGCCGGGGCGGGGCGGGGCGAGGGGTGGCTCACGTGGTCCAGCAGCGGCGGGAGGCGTGGCCCCAGCTCCGCGCTCAGCAGCCGCACGGGCGCCCGCGGCCGCAGCAGGAGCCTTCGCAGGGCGCCCAGCGCCGCGCCCACGAGCCGCGCGTCGCCCTCGCCCAGAGCGCCCAGGAGCGGCGGCAGCAGCGAGTTCAGGTGCCGTACCTGCCGCGGCAGTGACTCGTGGGCGGGCCCGCGCAGACCCCGCCCCAGCTCCCCGCTCGGCCGCGCCCCTCACCTTGCTGCGGTTCAGCGCGAGGTGGCCCAGGCCCAGCAGGCCCAGCCAGCGGACGGTGGGCTCGGGATCGCCCTGCCAGGCGCGGAGCCGCTCCAGGACGTCCTGCTCCCGCAGGAGCCGCGCCGTGGGCCGGCTCTGCAGCAGCTGGCAGGAGGGACGGGTCAGCACACTCCCGGTCCCCGTGCGGTGGCGCCGTTTGGCGACCACTTCCACGGTCACCCCTCACCACCCGTTTGAATCACCAGACCAGCCGGGAGGCGGGCTCACCCCGGTAAAGAAGGCGATTGCCGTAAGGCGCTGCGTGTCGTCGGCGCTGCGCAGCCGGGGAAGTAAGTCCGCGAAGAGGCCTCGCAGGTGGTGGTCGGCGTGCGCCACCATGGCGCTGGGGAGTGGTAGAGATGAGAGCCTCCCTCCGCTGGGGGCGCCGCCGCCGAGCAGCCCCCACGGCACCACCCCCAGGCCCGTATTCCCTTCCCCACCCCACCCACCCCTGCCCGTAACCAGCCTCCTCCCGGGGCGCGCAGCCCCGTTCATCACCTGGCCAGCAGCAGGACGCCTTCCAGGTGCGTGTGGGCTCCCGCCAGCCTCCTCCAGCCTCCTACCTGCTCCATGCACGTGACCACCATGCGGCCGCCGTCGCCTGTGAGCAGGGCCTTCAAGGCCTCCACCGCGCAACTAGAGGTGGAGACAGGACCACGCGCTGTGAGGGCAGGGAGGGCGTGGCCCGGCACTCGCGGCCCTCCCACCTCGGGTGCCGCGCCCTCACCTGGCATGACTGTGCGGCGGTCCTCGGTGAGACGGGGCCCAAACCCTGGGGCTGTCAGGGGAGCGCGAGCCGCGGGCCAGCTGGTGTAGCTGCGTGACCAGCGCCAGCAGCAGGTGAGGGTAGAAGCCCCGCGTGGCACCCACGCAGCCCGACACGGCCAGCATCTCCCCGAGGGCGCGTGTGGCCTGCAGAGCAAGTGACCCACTCAAGCCTGGGGCCCGCCCGGGGCCGTGTCCGGCACCAGAAATGCAGGCGCACGAAGCCAGAATGGAACAAGCCTCGCACACGCGCGGGACATTCATCGCCCCCTCCCTCCGGGCCGCGCCCCTGGCTGTGCTGGCTGGAGCCACCTACCGCCAGCGCCTCTTGCTCCTGCCCAGCTGCGCCCTTCAGCGCCCACAGCAGCTGCACCAGCACCTGCCCATTCACGCGCTGGTTCCGGCTCAGGCTGCGCCAAAGCTCGGCCGCCGCCCTAGGGTGCGGGGGTGGCGGTGAGACAAGGGTCTGGGTAGAGGGTGGGCGTGGGCGCCCGCCAGCACTCCACTAGAGGGGGGCAGGTAAACCATCCCCCTCCCCCAGAACCCTGGAGGAATGAAATTAGTGGTAGGTGAGCCCACCACACCATGGGGCTCTGCTGAGGGCGCTTTGGACCAGCAACAGACAGTCGTCAACCTGCGATCCTAAAAAATTACCCTGCAGAAACAGCAGGGGGGGTAGGCACGGGAGCTCAGACAGTTCGCCCACCCCGCCCCAGGCTGGTCTCCGGAGCTACCAATAGGGAAGGCGTGTCCCCAACCCAGGAACCCTGGCTGGTGGCCGCAGGCGGGGAGTGGAGGGGACGGGAAGGGAGGCGAGGGAGTCGTAGGCTCTGCCCCTTCCACCACCTGCCGTGAGGGACCAGACCGCGGCCAAGCGGGAAGGAGGAAGGAAGCTGCGTGGTGGCCGCGCTAATGAGGGCCGGGGACTTGGCGGGCGGGCGGTTACCGGTCCGGGGGCAGCGAGAGCGGCAGCAGCGCGCCCACGACGTCCTGTGCGTGCTCCAGGGCCAGCGCGCTCAGCACCCGCAGAGCTGCCCTCCGCGGCCGTCCCTCGGCTAAGCTGGGCACCTGCGCCAGCAGCCCTCGTACGAGAGCGTGCACCTGGGGTGGAGGGCCACTAGTCAGCCGTCAGAGGGCTGGCAGGTCTTGACCCCCACACGTTATTCTCCCAGCACCCATCCACTCTCAGCCTTGAGAGCCAAGGGGGGCGGGTCAAGCTGCTCACTCCAACCCCTACCCTTAGAGGGCTGGTGGCAATCCTTAGGGAACAGTGGGAGAACCCCGTGAAAAAGGAGGGCTGTGTGTGCCGAGGCCCAACTGACCTGGTCCTCCAGACGCTCCCCCCGGGCCTCCAGGGCTGAGGACAGGGTGAGCGCTGTGGCCTGGGTCCCTGCAAAGCCAGCCTCCTCCAGGCAGGCCGCAGTGTACAACGCCAGGTCGGCTAGGGCCCCCTCCTCCCAGGGACTGTGGGAGGCCTAGGGCAGAGGTGGGTGGGGTGTATGAAGGCCCAAAGCCTCGTCAGCCCTGCTTCCCACCCCCACCCATGCCCCAGCCCTCCTCAGCCCCCACCCGTCCCCCTCTGCTCCCCAGCCAGGCCTTCCCGCCCCCCCTTACCTGTCTCCTGCTCTAGCCCCCTCCGGGGACTGAGGGAGCCCGAGAAGGCGCCATGGGCCCCAGGGCTGGTCTCCAGCCTCCCTCCCCCACCTCTCACCTGGTGGGCTCCCTCAGGGGGAGGCTCCTGGGCACTGGGTGGGGAGCAGGGCTGGCTGCCAGCTGTGGGGATGCTGGCCGAACCGCCAGGTTCAGCCTCAGAGGCGGGGGCGGGGACCTGGCCCTCATTCTCAAGCCCCTGGGGCTCAGTGGGCCGGCCCTGGGAAGGGGCTGTCAGGGGCTGCTCCTGGCTGGCCCGGATGCCTTCCGCCAGAGCTGTCAGGGTCAGTGCCCCCACGGGAGCCCCCCGGCCACGGCCCCACATGCCCCCAGCCATGGCTGCCCCCCACGCTGAGCCACTCAACAGGACCCGGCTGCCAGCACCTGACGACTGCTCTCAGGAAGTCAAGCCCGGGACGACCTAGGAGCAGCCCCGGGCGGGACCAGGGCACAGGCGTGGTGGCGCGTGCGTGTGTGAGCATGCGTGCTGCGTGCGTGGGGGCCTGGGATGCCACACATCGGTGCCCTGAGCATGGTGCCTGCTGCAAGAAGTGGCTTTTGAAGGGCTCTCTTGCCCAGGCTGCAGGGGGCAAGCTGGTGGGTCTGGGGGAGGGTGGGATGGCTCTTCAAGGAGGAGGCGGGCAAGCTTGCCAGGACCCCAGCCCCTCCTGGGGGTGGGCCCCAGCGGGTGTAAACAGCCTCAGGAGGCCCCAGCAGGGTCCAGAAAGCTCGGGCCAGTCCTGAGCCAGCCTTGCCTGACTCAGGCCTCAAGCGGCCATCAGAGCCTCCCAGAATCCCAAGGTCAGCTGGATCCCTCAGATGTCTGGGGGAGCTGTCACCATGTGTGTGCTGCTCAGACAGCCCTGGGGTTGAGGCTCCCACTACCCCCGGCTGATACCATTGTCGGGACTGCCCCCCATCTCTGTGGTGGCACCCCCATCCTGGCTGGACCACAGGGTTCCTGGGTGCTGTCACTGAGGAAGGTGCACCTGGGAGCTGGTGGCCTTTGATGTGGGGTCACTGTGTTCCGCCCTGTGTGTGTGCGTGTGTGTGCCCTGTGTGGCCCAGGGCTGGCCCAATGGGGCCTCTGCCCCAAATCCTCTCCTCCACTCCCATCCCACACCCAGAGTCCCAGGGGAGCCAGATGAGCCGGTTGGGCGGGATACCTAGGCAGAAGGAAGTGCTCCTGGAAGCCCCACCCTCGTACCCTGCTGTCTGACAGGAGGGCCAGCTCCTATGCTCCACTTCCTGCTGAGCCCAGACTCCCTTGTGTGCTGGGTGTCTGGGCCCCTCCTGGCACTCAGGGCTGCTGGGTGCCTGCACACTAGGGCTTGTACCCAGGGCCTGGAGAAGGTGGCAGACAGATGGGTGGAGCGGAGGGAGCCATAGGCCCCCAGTGGCGGGGTCATGAGGGGCTGGCAGCAGCAGGGGCAGGGCACGCCTGGGCTTGGACAGCCTGGCAGGACCACACTGAGCACAGCCCAGCAGGTAGAGCCCCAGGCAGGTGTGGGGGCTGGGGCCGTGGTCTTACCACCAGGCCCTCCCAGCCCTGCTTCTGGCAGAGAAGTCTTGCAGGACCTCTCTGTGGGTGCCAGCCACCCCTGTCCCGTGGCCCTGCCTCCCACAGCTCAGCTCCCCCACACCCTGGGCTGGGACCTGGCGGAAGCAGGCTTCCCCTGGGCGCATGGGCCCCAAGCACCCTGGGAGTGGACAGATGACTCAGACACGTGGTGCAGGGCAGTAAGTGACTCGTGTTGTAGTCAGGAACCCTGGCCCCTGGGATGCTCACAGCACTGCCTGAGCCCGCAGCCTGTCCACCAGGGCCTGCAGCTGCTCAGACAACGCCACCTGCGCGGGAAGAGGAGGGGCTGGTGGGGCGGCCTTGGCTGAGTGGACTCAGCTGGCGGGACCAGACCCTCCCCTCCACCCACCTGGCACGGCCGGATGCTCTCCAGCCGCCTGTGGGCGGGGCTGAGGCGGCTCAGAGACTGCTGGGCGAAGGCTCTAGACTCGGCCAGGGATGGGAGGGGCTCCCTAAGCTGGAGGAAGGAGGAGGGAGGGGAGGGCTCAGAGGCTGACCAGTCAGGGGTAGGGTTCAGGATAACAGTGCAGACAGACGGGGAGGGAAGTGGCCACCTGTCCTTGCTGGACCCAGAGTTTCAACAGTGGCTCCACGTGGGCTGGCCTCACGGTCAGAGGCTCCCGGGCCCCCCGAGGCCACACCCTCAGCTCCTGGCCGACCTGGGGCGGAGGTTCCTCAGCCAGCTGCAGCAAGTCCAGCAGCAGAGACCCTGTGGGGGGCTAAGAATGAAGTGGGGCTGCTGCTCGGAGGGGGCACGGGAGGAGTGGGGGAGTCTCACCGTCGGGGCCCAGGAGCCGGAAGGCAGCCTTGCTCCCAGGCAGGGTTTGCTTGTCAGGGTCCTCCGTCAGCTTCATCCGGGGCTGGCCCCCCACGGCCACCAGCTACGGGACAGGGCACTGAGGGGCTGCACCTACGAGGCCCCCGCGGTGCCCTCACCCGGGCCCCAGACCCTGGCCCCACCTTGTACACACACCCCAGGGAAGGCTGCCGGGGACAGGTGACCAGGCTGGTGCCCACGCCAACGATGTCCACCTCACTGCCCTGTGGTGGGGAAGAGGGGATAGCGGCCTAACCACAGTCTGGCAGGGGGCCCTGGACCCTCCAAGCCACCCTCCAGCCTGCACCCCACCTCCTGGGTCAGTCGGGCTAGCTCTTCCTCATCTATGTTGTTGCTCACAGCGATGGGGACTGACTCCAGCCAGGGCACCTGGAACCTGCGAGGCGGGTGGGACAGGGGCCTCTGGGCAGAGCCCCTGCTGCGGCAGCCCTTGGCTGGTCCGGACTCACCCTAATTCCACTGCTGCCCCGCAGCCACATTCTTCCCCCAGGGATTGAGCCGCTGGGGATCCCAACCTAAGATGCACTCTGACCACCCTGCCCCACCAGGCCCCCAGAACCTGAAGGGAAACCCTGAGCCAGGGTGGAGGAACAGCTCCCGCCCTCATCCCAACACCTGGCCCCTGGTAGTGGCCCCAGCTCCCAGCAGCGGGCCCTCCCAAGCACTCACCGGGCTGCGGTGGTTCGTAAGACCCCACGGACTTCCCAGGCCTGCTGAAGCAGGTCGCCACTGTCCAGCCGCACGCCCACTGCCCGGTAGCCCAGCTCCCCCAGGGCCAGGGCCACAGCCAGGAAGTTGGGGAGACCGCTCCTGCAGACAGCACCGGGGTAAGGGACTGTGGGCAGCTCTCGGAGCCCAGCCCGGGCACTGGGCCTCACCTCTGCACACAATAGGAGTCCAGCAGGCCCTGGAAGGCGCGGGGGAAGGCCAAGGCATAGGCCACAAAGGCCGCCCGCTCCCCCCTGTGCGGCGCCTGCGCCCCCAGCCCCAGGTGGGCACACACGAGCTCCAGCCACACCTCCACACGGGCGGCCAGGTCCACCCGCGGGCCCTCGCCGGCAGCCGGGGCCAACATCTGTGGAAAGGGGTTGTGAGATCTGCCGGGCCGGCTTCACCTGGGGTTGAGGGTCTGGGCAGGGGAACCACGGGCTGGGCCGAGGGCTCAGACAGCCGGAGAGCACGAGGTTACTGACCGGGTCAGGGGGCACCTCAGTGCCCGAAAAAGAAGTGACGAAGGAGTGCGCCAGCGTCCCGGCCACGGGCACGCCGCGCAGCTGGCCGGCCAGCACGTTGCTGCTACTGTCGAAGCCTGGGCAGGGGGTCAAGCGGGTTGGAAGGCTGCTGGCGGAGGGGAGGGAGGAGGGGGGAGGGGGCGTCCTCCTTCCCGCGCCTGCCTCTCTCCCCGGCTCTCATCCCCGGCTCTCACCGCCCAGGTAGCTGTAGGTGGAGGCGGTGAGTCCCCCGTCGGGGCCCTGGGCGCGCCGCAGCCCCATCTCCAGGAGCCGCTTCTTGGGCCCCGCGATCAGGCGAAGCCGCGCCGCGTTGGTGGCGACGAGGCTGCGGGGAGCGAAGGGATAAGGGACCCGGGGTGCGGTTCACGAAGCCACCCAACCCCGCTGCAGTTACAACGGGGTCCAGAGCTACACCAGGGCTCCGCCCCAGACCCCCAGTGGGGCGGGAGGCTCTTTCCTCCCGGCTCTCCTGACCCAGGAGTTCCAGGGCCGGAGCGCCGCCCCAGAGCCCCACCCACCGGTCACGGGGCCCCACCCACCGGTCACGGGGCCCCACCCACCGGCCCGGAACACCGCCCCAGGGCCCCGCCCACCAGACACGGAGCTCCGCCCTCGAGGGCCCGCCCACCAGACACGGAGCTCCGCCCTCAGGGTCCCGCCCAACAGTAGGGAGCCCCGCCCCCGAGGGCCCGCCCGGTCCGTTCCGCCGCCCGGGTCTGACGCGCGGGTCTCGCCGAGCAGCTCCTCCCTGCCCCAGGTCCCACCTGGCGTAGCTGACCAGGCAGAGCAGCGGGGTCTCTAGGAGCTGCACCACCAGGAGCGGCCCGGACACCTGCAGCAGCGGCACCTGCGGGGAGCGCTGTCAGGGGCGCGCCGGCGCGCGCGGCCTGCCCCCTCCGCCCGCCCGGTCGGCACTCACGCCCGGGGAGGCCAGGGAGCCCTCAGGCAGCCCCCGCACGGTCACCGCGGAGCAGTCCAGGGCCCGCAGGTGCGCGAAGAACGCGGGGTCCGTGTCCGGAGGCAGCACCGAGGCCAGGAACTGCACATCTGCGGACGACAGAGGCTGTCGTGGGGCGCGGCGCGCGCGACCCTGGGCTGGCTGTCCGGGGCCGGCCAGGCCCTACCTGCGTCCCGCAGGCGGAAGGCGCGCAGGAAGCGCACGCAGTCGCGCAGCCCCGCGGCCAGGGCGAAGGCGCCGCCGAAGGGGCAGCGGCGGAAGTACAGCTCGAACTCGGCGGTGTCCTGCGCCCGGCCCGCGCGCCAGTAGCCCAGCGCCATGGTGACCTGGTAGAGGTCGGTGAGCAGCGGCCGTGCTGCTGCGCGGCCCTCGGGGTCGGGGTCCCGCTCCGAGCCCGGCGGCGCCGCCATCTCCCTCCGGTCCCCGCGGGCTCTGGCAGGGCCCGCCCGCCCCGCGTGACTCGCTCCAGCCAGTGGCTGCGCGCCCGGGGCGCCCCTGCCCCGCCCTGAGCGGCTGGCGCTCCGAGTGCGGTCCAAGTCCAGCGGACTCTGACGTCGGAAAAGCAGAGCGCACAAGGGTGGGGACAGCCGGGAGCGTCTGCTCCCAGCACTAAGAGGACCAGACGGGACACGCAGGCGGCCAGAGGGCAGGCTGTCTGGCTCTCCTACCCAACCCCACCCAGATGCAGGGACCCTCCTCCCAGAACGTGTCCCCAGCCCCTTTAGGGGGCAGTGGAAGTTGTGAAGGGTCAGTCTTCACCAAGCCTGCCCAAAGCTGGGGGAACCTGCTGCAGCCCACCATGCCCTTCAGGAAAGGGCACGGTTTCAGGCAAATGGCAGTCCCCAAGGTGTCTCAGCAAGGCACACTGCCACCAGCTCTGCTCTTGCCGGCCTTGACTTGAAGGGGCCATGAGGGCAGAGGCTCCTGCACCCCAAGTTCCCCAGGAACTTCTCCAAAGCTCATCGAGGGGACGCTCAGGGTCCTGCTGCCGAGGGGGGCTTGGGACCCACAGGAAGTAACTGCACCCCCACCCTTTCACCCAAATGCCAGGGCTGGCTGGCTCCTCTGGCCACTGGAAGACCAGTACCAAGCAAACATCAAAAATGACCCCTTTTGCACATAAAGTACTGCATTGTCAGTGATTGACAGACACAGGGGTGGACAGACTGAAAGATCAGGTATGTCTATGTAGGCGGGAGTGTGCCCATGACCACGTACAGGTTTGGCAATGTTTCTACAAGTGTACTGGTGTGTTCTGAAAGAATTCCCAGCTATATAGTAGAGCTGACAAGCGACAAGGTTGTAGTCACTCGATCACAGCCAGCTATCCAGAGGAACCAAGTAGTTAGACCTGTGGGCTCTCAGGAGACAAAGTGTATGTGGGTGGCTGTACGGAAAGTGAATTTGCTCTGTGAACTTTCACACAAATCACAATTAAAAAAAGAAAAGCATAGCACCAACCAGCAGGCCCAGCTACAACTCCAAGGGGCCTGCTGTTCGCCAGTCACCTCAGAGCCACAGCAGGGGCCGCTCTTGCAGAGGCTGCCCAAGAGTCAAGAGGAGGGAAGGAGGGAGGCGTGGCCAAGGCCTCCAAGGCTGGAGGACAAGCTGGGGAACGGAGGCCTGCACCAGTCACACCTGGGGTTCACTCACTAGGGTGGGCTCATGTCCCAGGAGGGGCGGCTTGACAGGAGACTGAGCAGAAAAATGGACAGATGTCTGCTACATAATGAGCTGACCATGGGGCCCTCCAGCCCAGGCAGCTTGAAGGCTGGGGCCACAGGAAGCCCTTGGACGCTGGAGGGAGGTGAGCCAGGCACCTTGGCCCAGCAGGGCACCACCCAGAACCCAGGCCCGTGCACCAGCCGACACCAGGACAGGAGCCAGAATGCCACGCCAAGTCTTTAATGGGCTGCACGCTCGCAGACACACACGTACGCTCACACACGTGCATCCGGCTCAGATCTTGTTGAAGGCGGCAATGTCGACACTCTGCACCTGAGGGAGGAGGGCTGTCTTCAGCAGGAGCGTTTCTCCGAGAGCTCCTAGAACCCCGGGGACCGCAGGGAGCCCCGATGGGGCCAGCCCACCCAGTCCCCTCTCCCCAGCCGGCCACTCACGTGCTCCTCGAACTTGGTGACCTCATCCTCCAGCAGGTCGGTGCCCACCTTGTCGTCCTCTACCACACACTGGATCTGCAGCTTGTGGATGCCATAGCCCACGGGCACCAGCTTGGAGCCCCCCCAGGTCAGGCCGTCCAGCTGGATGGAGCGCACGCAGGCCTCCAGCTGTGCCATGTCTGTCTCATCATCCCACTGTGAGGACGGGAGGGCCCCCAAAGTCAGGCCTCACCCCACCGTGAGGACGGGAGGGCCCCCAAAGTCAGGCCTCACCCCACCGTGAGGACGGGAAGGATCTGAGGTCAGCCCCACCCCACCGTGAGGACGGGAAGGATCTGAGGTCAGCCCCACCCCACTGTGAGGACGGGAGGGCCCTGAGCCCACTCACGGGCTTCACGTCCAGCAGGATGGAAGACTTGGCCACCAGCGCGGGCTTCTTGGCCTTCTTCTCGGCATACTGCCGCAGCCGCTCCTCCCGCAGGCGGGCTGCCTCCTTGTCCTCCTCCTCCTCGTCGCTGCCAAACAGGTCGATGTCATTGTCCTCGTCGTCCTCTGCTGGTGTGGCCGCCTTCTTGGCCGGGGGCTCCACTTGCCGCATGGGAGACACATGCTGCCGCGAGGGGAAGGAGGCTGACACCCCCGGCTGGGCCAGAGCCCACCAAGCCTGGCTCCCCGCAGCCTGTCCCAAGGGCTGCCCACACAGGACGTGCCCTGTGCTCAAGGTGCAGGCACGGAGTTTGGAGAAGGGGAGGGGGACAACAGTGGGCGCTCTACCCCTGAAAGGCCGGCCGCTGGCTCACCTGGGTCTGCGGGGCAGTGACGCGGTGGGCAGGAGAGTTCCTCTCCAGCGTGCTCAGCCGGGCCTCCAGCTTGGACAGGGCCTGCTGCAGGTCCTGCACCACTGTGGGGGGCGGCCAGCCAGTGGCCCAGTCAGATGGCAGCCCAGGGACGGGTAGAGGAGGGGATCAGGGGAGGGGGCCCCAGTGAGCCTGGGAAGGGGTAAGGAAGGGCCCTCCCCCAAGGCCATCCCTCACCGCTGCGAAGGCTCTGGTTCTCCACCTCCAGGCTGGCGATTCGCACCACAAGCTCGCTGTGGTCCCCGCTGGGCCCACTCGCGGCCCCAGAGCTCTGCAAGGCAGGGGCAGTGAGGGCCTTGTGCTGTCGGCTCTGAGAACCCCACAGCTGCTCAGGAGTGGAGCCCCGAGGCTGAAACCCCTTGCAGCACACGCTGTCCCGATGGAGAGCACAGACCTGGGTACGTGGGCTGGCTGGGAAGGCTGCTGAGGGACTCTGGTGACAGACAGGTGGCAAAGGGCCCAGGTCCACCCCAGCAGAGGCAGCGTAAGCACCGAGCTGCCCTCCCACCCCTATACCCCAGCGCCATGCGACACCGGGCAAAAGGAGGACTTACAATCCCTGGGGCAGTCTGGCTCGGGGCCTCAGGGGGGCTGGGCAGTACCGCCTGGAGCTGGAAACGGGAGGGAGCGCCGCTGAGGCCGGCGCAGGAGGGGCTGTCCGTGCAGGGGGCTGCCTGCTCACCCCCACAGCTCACCCAGGGCCTGTCAAGGCCTCAGCCCCCTTCCTGACCAGGGGTCCCTACAGCCTGTGCTCTACCCCACGCTAACCTGTGCCCCGCACCATCCGGTCTCCAACGAGGGGCACACGTGCACCAGTAGGGCAGGGGGCCCAGGCCCAGCCCCGAGGTGGCCCCCACCCACCCTTACCCAACCCTTCCCACAGGTGGCTGTGGCCACCTCGTCACTGTTGGGACCACAGAGCCATCCCTACTCAGGCCTTCCAGGGCTTTCTGCCATACTATCTGCCTGTGCACCCCGGATCAGCGTCTGGGAGGCAGGATGACCCCAGCAAAGGGCAGGGCCTGAGGGCTCCCTGATACTGGAGCCAGAGTCTGGGCACAGCAGGATGGGCACCACGGGGCCCTGGGCCACCAAACAGCTGGAGGACAGGCAGGATCCCCCTGGAGAGGCCCAGGGCCCCAGCTGGAGGCCTCAGGCCGCACAACATGCTGGGCCCATCTCTACTGCTTGCCTCCAGCCACACCCCAGGCTGCCCTACGAGGTCCTTGCACTGGGCCTGCCCCACCAGCCGGACCAAAACCCAAAAAGGCAGGGGTGTGCAGGGTGCCACCTGGTGGTCTTGGCAGGAAGTGCTGAGTCCGGTCACCCCATCCCACTGTGCCTTGCAGTCTCCAGGACGCCTGGACTCTGACGTCCCAGTGTCTGCTGAGCTCTGATCCCACTGGCCTTCCTGAGTCCCCGAGCCCTACAGTACGCCACCTGCCTGTCCCCAGACCCAGGACCCAGCAGCAGACCCAGACATGGTCTGGCCTGGGGAGCCGAGGCCTCGGACCTCCAATGATGCGGGGCCAGGAAGTGTGGGCAGCAGGCCAGGACCAGGCACAGGCCACCTGCTGGACGTGCAGCCCCATCCTGACCAACCAAGACATGCTAAACTGGCTGCAGTCGGGCAGAGTAACAGCCTGCAAAGATGCCTAAGGCCTAATCCCGGGCCCCGGGAACACGTGACTTCACAGGGCGAAAGGGAGACCATGACCCGGAGCGAAGAATCTGCCATGTAGGTGGCCCGCCATGATCACAGGGTCTGCAGGCAAGGGGCTGGGAGGGTCAGGGAAGGCAGGGAACGGAAGTGGAGTCGGGGAAGAGACTAGCTTTGAAGATGGAGGAAGGTGCCACAGACCACGAGACACGGGCAGCCTCTGAGCCGGGAGAGGCAGGAGACAGAGCCCTCGGGAAGGTATTCAGCCCCGTCTGAGACCCAAACAGTTCTGTCCGAGTCCTGTGGTGCTGGACCTCTGCTGCCTGGGTCCCTTTCCAGGGCCGCCCTCGGGAAGCCAACACAGACTCCAGTACAGGAGCGGACACTGCTGTGAAAGCATCTACAGGTGCACGCGGCCTGGGAACTGGCAACAGGCAGAGGCCCAGAAACTGACCATCAGAGAGGCCGAGACGGCGGGAACAGACCGCACCCAACAACCCACGAGGGGTTCGGGGAAACGTGCATTTCAGAGCCTAACTCCTCAGGGACGGACCACAGACAGACATGTTAACTGAAACGCACTGCTGGGCTGGGCTCAGAGAGGGTCCGTGTCAGAGACGGCCCAAGGAGACCCGTTACACGGGGCACACGCTGTAAGCAGAACTCATGCACCTGTGCCTGGGTCCAGCTGAGAAAATCCCCAAGGTGAGTGGAGTGGGCCTGGTCTCTCCTTACTGCTCGGAATGAGGTGTGAGGGGAGAGCGGGGGGCCAGAGGGTGTTGAGGTGAGAGGCAGACGGCAGGCAGGAGAGCTGGTGACGTGAGGTAGTCTCACTGTGGCCCTGTGGCCAGACACTGAAGTCGGGAGATGTGGTCAGGAAAGGAGCTGGGGACTGGGAGATGGCCAGAGGTGTGGCTGGGAAGGACCAAGCGGGCACCATCCCGCAGCAGCTCTCAGAGAGCAGGCGTGTGCCTCAGGGACACCCCGGCCATCTCAGCAGAACCCAGGAACAGAGGTCTTTAGAGAAGAAGCCTGGGGTCGAACGGCAGGGTGCCCGTGACACACACCAGGGACCCACAATGTTCTTGAGAATGTTATACCGTCAGCAACCTGCCAGCTGGGACCCAAGGGGACAGAGGACAAAAGGCAGGCAGGCCGTTGGTCAGGCCCCAGCAGGAAACAGGCTGACAGAATCACTGGGGAAGAGGCACGTGCCCCCTGCCAGGAAGACATGACGGTGGGGGGTACAGCTGTGAAACTGAACGGTTTGCCTGGCTGGATTGTGACACTGATTGGGGCTGGTGACACTTTCCTTCCTTCCACCTTCCCCGTATGGGGACAGGAGTGTCTACAGCTGCCACCCCACACCTGTCTCGTATTCGGGGAGCACAGGGCTTAGTCCCCAGGGCTCCAGATGACCCAGAGCTTCACCCACCCCTGCAGTAGAAGGGACTTGACTTGAGCCAAGTGCAGGAGCTGGCCCGGGCTCTGGGATGGGCAAATGCATTTTACCTGTGGGATGGACGTGAATCTTTGGGGCCAAGAGTGGCACAGAGAACAATGGCCCTCAAAGACATCCATGTCCCACCCCCCGCAGATGGCAGGGGCTCTGCCAGTATCTAGTTAGGGACTAGGGGATGGGGAGACCACGTTGGGTCGGCCTGGGAGGGAACAAAGGGAGTGGCATGCTGCAGAGTGATGAGGCTGCCAGCTGGGGCCAGGAGCCAAGGGACGTGCTGGCCTCGGAAGCTGACAAGGATGGGCACCCCCGTTGGGGCCCAGGAGACACCAGCTGATTTCAGGCCCCTCTCGGGTTCCCGTGAGATGCTACACTTACACTGCTCCAAACAGGAAAACCTGTGGTAACTTGTTACCATGGCAACAGCAAACACATCCCACGGTCCCTAAGTCTATGAACCCAAGCCTCTGTAGGAGGCAGGAATGACAGAGGACTCTGACAGCCACTCAAGCAGCAGGAATGGGCGGGAAGGAGAGGCCTCCCAGGCAAGCGCTGCGGTCTGTGCTCCACGGCCCGGAGAGGCTCAGCGGCCATGCGGGAACCCGCCAGGGGGCACGGCGCCAGCCCGCTTCAGCTCAGCCAGCACAGCAAGAGCAGCTGCAGAGGGGCAGGACGCCTCAGGGACCCCAACAAGTGAAAGGCATAGAGGGTCTGGCCGGGTCAGCCTGGGCCTGCAGACCACAGAGGGCCATTGCCAAACCATTAGCGTCACTGACAGACCCGCACCAGCCCAGGAGGTACTCACTCCAGCCAACGACTTCTGGATGTTCTCTCTGGCTCGAGCGATGTCCCGGAGAATCACACTGGCGCCGTTCTCCTGTGACAGTCCACAAAGAACTGCGGTGAGAATTTAAAAAAAAAACAAAGCAACAGCTACTTCACACACAGCAAGCGAGGAAGGCTGGTGAGTGAGTAGTAGCAGGTGGCCCTTGGGGGCACAGAGGCCAGGGCATGGGCTGTGCCCGCAGTTGGGGGGCCAGCATTGAGCCCAGCCCCTGGCTGCAGGCCCAGGGCAGACCCATGTCCAAGAGCCACCTTCCAAAGACCGCACGACCGCCACCTGGAGCCGAGCTCCCAAGGAGTGGGTGCCCAGCTGGTCGTGCCATCCCAGGGCTGTGACTGGAGTCTGCCTCAGCCCCGCGTGGTGGCCGGCAGGCCTCACCTGGCGGCAGGAGCCAGCCGCAGGCCCGTTCATCTGCTCATAGAACCTCCGTTCTGCCTCGTCATATTTGAACTTGTCGAACCAGACCTTCTCATGTGCGAGGAAGCTAGTGGCCATTTTCCTGCTGGGAAGGGGACATAAGCTAAGTCAGTGGGCTGGGGGAGACAGGGATCGAACACTGCCCGCCAGCCCCCAGACTAAGGACTGCCCTGCCTGGGAGCCCCTCGGGGCAGCCCGTTACGGACCCTGGGGAGGAACACAAGTGTCAGTGGCCCGCCCAAGCTTGTGAGGATCCCCACGTAAGTGCCCCCATTCCGAGGAGGGGGTCAGGTCACTTGATTGAAAGTGGGTGCCCTGACCACCAGCATGCAGAAATGCCCCCAGCGGCCCCCTCGTGGCCATGGGTGGCACCTGCCCCAGGCCTGGCCTGAAGGCCACAGCTGATCCAAGCAAGGCCTGTCCCACCCCATATCTGCATGGGGCCAGGCTTTTCCACACTCGACAATCAGGCCCTCACACCAGAAGCTCAACACCCCAGACACCTAAGCCAGGCCCGCGGCTTGCGGGTAAATGACCTCCGGGAGGGCACTGTCAGCCTGACGGGCGAGAAGCTTAGGTGCCTATTTCTCTGCCTGTGAACACCCCGGACATCTGTGTGAATAGCCGACGTGTGATCATCGGTAGATACAATGAAGGCCTCTTGGGGTCCTGAGAACCACTATGGCCCAGCAGTCAGCAGGCCCTCTCCCCTGTGGTGATCCCACAGTGCCATTCCCTGCTCTGGCCTCAGAGCAGGTCTGCACCTGCCCCTGACCACACTCAAACTGGCCTCATCAGTGTCGGGGGCCCCTGATGCTCCCCCAGCCCTTCCCCAGCCCCATCCTCACCAGCAAGTCCAGCACCACCGGGGCTGCTGCCTCCCTGGCCCAGTGCAGCCTGGGAGGTGCCAGGCAGCAGGCCCACATGCACCTTCCAAGAGGAACCAGGCCCTCACGTCTTACGCCACGTTCCCGTCTGCCCTGTTGTCCAATCTTCCCTATACACCAGTCTGGGACTGGCTGGCTGGCAGCACCTCTGTGGCCACCTCCCCATGTGGCCTCCCAAGCCTCTGAGACCACTAGGCACAAGACAGCCCCAGGCCAGGCCCTCCAGGGACCAGACACGAGGCCGGTCTCCCCTAGCCCCACCCCAAGAGCACAGATACGGGGGTCCTGCCATGTGCTGAGTGCCTATGCCTAAGACGCCTGCTCACTCAGAGCTGTCAGCTACAAGGGGCCCAAAGGGTCAGAGAAGGAGTGGGGTAGGGGGCCCAGCATCACCCCCTGCCAGGAGAGCTCAGGGCCGGAAAGCAGGGCAACCGACCGCCCTGTTCCTAGCAAGCAAAGGGGGGGACAGGGTCCCGCGGGCTGGAGGGGCTTCCACCTCCACAGCCCCAGCCTGCTCTGGCCCTGTCTGCTGCCGAGTTCCGTGGGCTGGGTCCACGGGTCTCAGAAGGCCCTTGGGGCAGGTGGGGAGGGGCCCTGGGGGTGTGGCAAGATTTCCTACTTGGGTCTCAGGCTGGACACAGATGGGCTGGACCGAAGAGCAGGCCGGGGGGCCAGGGAGGCGGCCTCAAGGCGCCAGGCCACGCGCAGGGCCTCGGCGGCATGGTGACGGCCCTCAGCACTGTCGTAGGTGGGTTTGTTGAGCCAGGGGGCCTCTGAGTCTTTGTGCAGGAAGTACCAGTAGTAGGGCACAGCAGGGGAGGCCTCCCCATCCGCCCGCCACGGTCCTGCTCGCTTGGTCCCCACGGCACTGCGGCCGCGCCGGTCCCTGCGGCCGCGCCGGGAGCCCTCAGTCTGGCCAGCTCGTTCCTGCAGGCACACCTTCCCTGGAGGATGGCCGTCAAACAGGGCCTCGTAGAAGACCCGCTCGGCTGCGTCATAGCGCGGCTTCTCCAGCCACACTTCCCTCATCAGTGCCTGCAGGCCGCCCAGGGCTGGCTGACTGTTGGCTGGAGGGCTGGGCTGGCGGGCCAGGGCCAGGCTAGTGGCAGCTGGTTCCTGGCCCGTGTCAGAGGCTCCCTGCCTGCCACGCCCCTCTGCAGCCTGCAGCAGGGCCTGAGACCACTCCACAAATACCCGCTCGGCCTGGTCGAAGGATGACTTGTTCACCCAGATGCCCCAGGTTACGTGGTGGCAGGCCACCTGGCTCCCGTGGGTGCAGGGGCCCCGTGGGGCCAGGGCGGGCAGCCAGGTGGGCTGGGCAGCCGCGTCGGCCAGCCTCTGGCGGTAGGTGCTCTCCGCCCGGTCGAAGAGCGGCTTGTCCAGCCACACGTGGTCGGCCGAGAGGCCCACGAGGGCCAGGTCAGCCGGGTCCAGGCAGCCCCGCGGGGAGCGCTTCCTCTTCTTCTGCGTCGGCCTCTTCCCGGGCTGGCTTCTGCCCGGCTCTACCCCGCCGCTGGTATCCGCCACCTCCGCCTCAGCCACATCGGCCTCTCCGGGCTCCTCCTGGCCCGGCCCGTTCACGGCACGTGCGGCCGGGAGCTGCTGGGCGGCAGCAGCCTGCGTAGCTGCGTGCTCATAGAAGCACCGCTCGGCCTCCTCATACTTGTGCTTGTCCTCCCAGACGGTCTCCAGGGCGCACGAGGCCTTGCCGTTCCTCATCTTCCGGCGCAGCCGTACAAAGCAAGCACAAGAAAGCAGTTGCAACAAAGGTGCCCAGCTGGGCCCTGACCACGAGCCGCCCCCCACCCCCCAGTCAGCTTGCCAGGGGCTACCTCCCGATGGGGCTCCACGGAGGGCCTCCAAGTCGCACCCATGGAGCACGGAGTGAGGGAGAAGACACGAACGTGTGTCGTGTCTCACATGCACACAGACACGGATCGCTCTAAAGGCAACACCGGTCTTTCCGAAGCTAACGGGAACCTCGGCTCTCTGCCAGGGACCCAGACAGCACTGTTCCCAAACCTCCTGGCTACGGAAATCTTTTCTCCCCGGGTGTCTGGGCACAGCTGTCTTAAGTGCTCAGGACGGGCCCAGGCAGGTGTGAGTCAAACAACAGTCTCAGTACAGCCCGTGAAGTCCCTCAACAGGCCTGCATAAGCAGCTCCTGCTGTTTGTTGGGGGGTCAGCAGGGCGCCTAGACGGTCCCGCCTGTGCACTTAGCTACCCTACCCAGAGAGCCCGGCCCCCACCCCCATGCAGCTCAGGGCTGTCAGAGGGAGGCTCCAGGGGCTGCAGAGGTAGGCACGCCTGTCCGCCCCCACGCCCAGAGCTGACAGCCACCTCACAGGACAAGGCCTCAAGGCCGGAGGACCCGGGGCAGCCGCCTGTATCTGCACCCAGCCAACGGGAAGGAGGGCCTAAGAGTGCCCCGTGGAAAGGCAGGCGGAGGCTCAACCTGACCTGCTGCGGTGTCACGGAGCTGCCTCTGTCCCGCAGCCTCCCCCTCCCCCCGCAGAAGAGCCTGGAAGCCCCCAAAGACGCTGTCCCCCACTTGGCAGGGACTGTGGCCTCTGGATGTCCCACCCTCTGGCTGTACCCAGTCTGCTCTAGGTTACAAGGGAGCCCCAAGCAGGTGAGCAACCACCTGGGGGCCTACCAACACCAGTGAGCCCAGTAGCTACTGCAAGCCTGTCCTCCCAAAGGGGAGAGAGGTATGGGCACCCAGAGGACAGGGCCACTGTCTGTCCTCCCAGCAGGGGCACTGAGGTCGGGCACCCAGGGGACGGGGCCACTGTCTGTCTTCCCAGCAGGGGCACTGAGGTCGGGCACCCAGGGGACGGGGCCACTGTCTGTCCCCCCAGCAGGGACACTGAGGTCGGGCACCCAGGGGACTGGGGCCACTGTCTGTCCTCCCAGCAGGGGGACTGAAGTCGGGCACCCAGGGGACGGGGCCACTGTCTATTCTCCCAGCAGGGG